ATATATATATATATATATATATATATATATATATATATATATATATATATATATAGCTATCAGCTAGATTCTACTAATTAGGGGTTGTTTGTTTACCTCTTAATAGTTCTATTAAGAGGTAGCATCTGAATCGTTAAGAAGTGAATCTTGTTTGGCAGAAAAAAAATCTGTCTCTTAATGATTCTAAAATCCCCTGAATTATTTTGTATCATGCGCCTCCCTTAACCATTCAGCGCTTTAATTTCATTGTAAACAATTCACAATTATATTTCATTTTGCACTATATCATGAGAACTTCTTAATCATTGTGTACCAAACCATTCAGCAACTGTCAAACAACTTTTTAATCCGAAGGTAAAGTTTGAGAGGGTTAGATGTATGTAGAGTTGACCTCAACCACCACTATAACCGAGAGGTTGTTTTTGTAAAGAACCGGTGTGTGTACACATGAAATTAGATAGGAAATATAACAGGTAATTGTAATAAGGTAGAAAAATGATGTAATGGTGTGGGCACAAATATGTTATTATATGCTTGAACTAAATTTTATGAAAATTTTGATTTGGTTATGTTGAAACGTTAGATATATATTGGTACTGGTTTTGTACCGAATTTACAATACATATATAAAAACATGCAATTTTATTTAGAAATTTAGTTTGTAGATAACATATATCATGTTTAAGCATTTTTTATTGCAAAAAATAAAATTTGCAAAGATTCAAACGCCCAAACAAAAAAGTTAAAGTTACAATATTTAATATTCAATACATAAAAAATATAAAGCATAATAAATAATTAAATAAGTTGGTATCATAGTACTATCATATTCAAGGAAATCAAATATCATATACCAACCAAGTTTTTATATTTAGTGTGATGTTATCAACCGACAACAATTGATACCGGTTAAATTGGCTAATTTAAATCGGTCCAATTGATACACATATTGATTGGTTGGTAAAAAAAATTAACACCTGTGGTATTCAATGCATACATATAATGTATTGTAGGCATCACAATACTTGAAAAAATCTGGCTTATATCGTATTTAAATGCTTGTATTGTGTTTTCAAAACCTCTTTCACGAAGGAAAGGAAAATAAAGGAAAGGGGTGGAAAGTAAAATAACTCGTATTCTTGAAACTTTTCAGTAGAGAAAAGAATGAGACGGAAAATAATGTTAAGTTTCCTCTCAAACATTTCCTCCAAATGTGGGAGGAAATGAAAGAAATAAAAATCCTTTTAAAAAATTATTATAATTATCTAATATTTTGTTCTAATGAATATATTTTTAAAAGATATATTAGTAAAAATGACATCTTTTTTATTCATTTCTCCCCTGTACAAAAATACGAAACATTATTTTCTTTTCCCTTCGAAAACACAATTAAAAAAATTATTTTCCTTCTCTTCTATTCCTTTTTTTTCCCAAATTCAAGAACACAATCCTAATGTTGGACTAATATTATATATCAGAAACATTTGGGCTTGGGCTTGGCACAAAAGAAACTGTAATATACCAACCTCCCACATGATCATCAATTCACCATCATGATCATGATCATGATCATGATCATCATGAGCTACTATTATAAAGTTGCAATGGAATCCTAACACTAACTATTCTTTCACCAAACACCTAACATTGATTATTCCCAATTTGGAAAACAAACAACACCAACCCCAACAATAAAACCTCATCATATTCCCTTCCCTTATCATCATCATCATCATACGCAAAACAATCTATCGCATATCGCTAACTAAAATCCGCGCTGCCTAAACACATATACAACACTAGCAACTTCAATCTCGCTCTGTTACGCTTCCGCCATTAAGACTCCCAGCAGCATAAGTCCATAGCTTGTCCAGGTCACCAGGCTTCACAATATCCAATTTATCGTCGATAGGAGTAGTATGTGCTCTACCTGGACTACGAATCAAAATTGGTGACGAACAAAATGTTGGAGTGGCAAATGGTGAGGAATAAGGGGTGTGTTGGATCGAGAATGGACTTGGAGACATTCGCTTTTGGATTGGACGACCTCCAAGCCCTCCTCTCTTGAATGTGGATAAACATTCTGAACGTTTCGTGGCATCGTCTACAAACATAACATCATCAATCCTTGCCATTATGTTAAATGCCAAGCTCTCCATTACCCTTGAGTAGCTTTCAAGAATCGACTGCCCAACATCCTGCAAATGAATAACTCCAAACCATTCATAATGAATAAAAACAATACCCTTCATGACAAGCAACAAGACACTAGAAAACTCCAAACCATTCATAATGAATAACAACAATACCTTTCGTACCATCTTGTTAATTGTAGTCCAAAAGGTTCCCTCTATTTCATCACTGATAAACATCATAGATAATTGACAAATAGATGAAGATGCGTACCTTGTTATATTGAATTTTGCTCATATCTAATGAAGTTTGTGGAAGGCCGGGAAATCGAAGTCTCAAGCTATGTAGAAGGGTTTCTGCTCTTTGTGTCAAGTAAGTGTTCTTGTCACTACCATCAGCAACTAGACCCTTAATTTTGCCACTCCATGATGAAAGTTTGGCTTTTGGATGACTTCTCCCATCTTTCAACTTCCATGCATGAATTGCTCCTTCGACCCGATTTGCTACTTCCAGAGTGTGGTGCTCCGATGACAAGTCTAGGCAATCAAGTAGACATTCTGGAGAGAACTTTTCAGCAGTTATGTAGCGGTAGATGATCTCGCCTAAACATGCTTTTCCATTCTATATTTCAAAGAATGGACAAAAATAAGTAAGTCAATCGCTGTCCCACATAGATATAAGATGATATCAATGAAAACCACCATCATTGTATACTCATAACACAAATAAGCATATATTTTGTAGTTCATGTTTCATAATCATGATAAATTGATAAAAAAACCTAGAAGCTATTTAGATGGCATATAGAAAGGTGATGGGGAGACAACCATGTATATCAAGAAGCTATTTACATCAAATCTTATATTTTGGAACGAATTTAGTATCAATCAAAGCTCGGATTGCACAAACAATTGCATTATTAAGATCCTAGAATCAAACTCAATTCTGCAGAAACTTTGACTTTAATAACCCATGTATATCAGTATATCAATTTACCGTTGTCCAAGTGTGAAGTAAATAAAATTTCATTTTGTTTAAATGGATCTTGCCATAAACTTCCCAACTTTTGCCCCAATTTCCTGCTTCTAATAAAAAGTCAAACAGAGAGCAAACACAGCAACTCCCAATATGTAATAATGAAAACAATTCCCAAGAACAAGCCACAACATCAGCAAGCATTTGGGATCTCCACAACATGAACATAACTTTGGTAAATATCGACAAATCCACAATTTCATTAACTACAACTATTTCAAAAACTTAATTGACCACATTCAACCAGTCTGTTGGTAAGGATTCCAAGTGAAGAAGATGATTTATCCATACTATGAACATAATCTATTTTGGTGAATACTGAAAAATCCACAATTCCGTTAGCTACGAAATTTTTCAAAAACTTAATTAACCACATTCAACCATACCTTCGGCAAGGACTCCAAGTAAGCATTTGGGATCTCCATTTCAGCAAGTACATTGCTATTTATTGCCAAGGCTGCCTTGAGAATCTGGTTTGTGCAGTCCCTGCATTGCTGCAATCTCTTTCTGGCATCCTCGGATAAGCCATTTGGAGGGAGTTTCGGATAAGGTAACCACCACTTCTCTTCTTGCCTAATTGAAGGCCTCCCACCACAAATGCGGGACGGAAATGCTTCACAACTGTCACCTTCTGCTAAAACTATGCCACGATCAACATACCAGAACTCCGTATTACAAAACCCATCTAGCATACTGATTAACATTGAATCAAGCTTCTTCAGAGCTGGGAGATTCATGGACAAATCTGCCCTTGGCTTTGTTGCCATTACTTCATAAGTGCCCCCATCAGGAGATTGTTGTATTGAAGGTACAAAATCCACAATGGAGTCACTTACAGATAGAAGCCAATCCATCTCCCTTTGCCACATTGCCTTCTTTTGTGGTGCCAATGGCTCCAACCTCCACAGCTCCCCAAATACAGAGGCTTCCATTATTCAATCACAAACAAATCCCATTCAGAGAACAAAACAAATATTGAAAAAACACATATAATCTCTCAACAATGTTTGTAAAGCTGATGTATAGGTATATGATAATTGAGGCAATTAAAGTGAAAATTCACTAACCAGAGAGATTTGTTATGGCGTTTGAAATTGCTAGGGCAGTGCAGACACCTTTGCCCCCTCCAGACATGTCTTCTCCAAGCAATAGCTTAGCAAACTTTTCCTTCATCATATCAATTTCTGCAGATTCATGGAAGGTTGAACAGAATCATGACAATAAATTCAAAATGACAATGGTGAAGTGGTGCCTAATCTTGAATGAACTTACAACTCTACGTAAGAGATTTTGCAGGGTCACTTAAATTGACAGTAACTTATACACCCAACTACTAAACACAGATTTTTGCCTTCAAAATGAAGTAAGGATGGATGCATTGTTCTTAATTGTTAAACAAATTATAGAGAGAGATTTGCAAACAGATATGTGCGAATTCATTCTTGCCCTAATATTATCTCTAATTATTCATATCGAATTCTATTGAAAAATGACAATGTTATTGACATACACTAAAGTGATAGATGGAGACCAACCAGATAAATCTGCATCAGGCTGTTTCTGAGGCTTCTTCTTGTCCCAAATCATGAGGCCCTCGTTCCCGCCAATCAGCGGGAACGTGAACGGCGGCAGCGGGAAGATAGAATCATTACCGGAAACAGAATGACAAGCAGCAAACGAAGAAGATTTCAACGAACTGGAAGAAGCACCATCGTCATACCGGCAACCAGAGAAACCGCTCGAACTCTCAGACTCGCTGATGTCAGCACTAAGACTGTAGCTCTCCTCACAACATCTCCCACTACTACTAGAGATATTGTTGTTGTCTTCTTCCGATGAACAAACACTCGCAGCCATCGCAATTAATTTCAATTTGAAATCTCAAATTAAACGTTACCCTAGCAAATCTTGAGCAAAGAAAGGCATATCACGCTTGACCCTGTAATGTCAGATATCGGTTGCCATTGGTGGTGGTGGTGGTGGTGGTGCCGCCTGTGGTGGTGGTGGAGGAGTGACAAAAACGTGAAAGGGGGGCAGATTGCAGAAGATATAAAGCTGTGGAAGTAGAGTGAAGGAGTAGAATGGGAACAACACAGTTACTTTTTTCACACATATATCACCAGGACATATTTTCATTTATCCCCTTCATTTATTCTTTAATGATAAAAATAGTCCTTATTCTTTCAAACTAATACAACTTAGTCCCTTCAATTACTACCCCTCCATTTGTATAGAAATAAAATTATGGTGAAGTGAAACATCTCACACCTACTCCTATTCTGTGCACCCTAAATATTATTTACAACATGCTTTTTTTCAAAAAAAAATATTCAATACTTTATTTTTTTATTTCATTTATTATAATTGTTTAAAAAATGATATTTAATTCCATAATTCTATAATTAAAACATCTCCAATAGATTCTCTAAAATAGAAAAAAGTAAGTTTTTTTGTTCTCCAAAATATTCCAACTGATATTTTTTTATTAAACATTTTAAAAAAGTGTATTTATAAAGATTTTAAATAAATTATATTTTATAATATTCTCTAATTTATCATCCTAAATACATTTTTATAAAATATTTTGTTATAAAAAATATCAGTTGGAATATATTGGGGGTGTTTGAGATTGCTTATAAAAACAACGTATTGACTTATTCTGATGTGGCACCGATAATAAGTACTTTTGAGTGTTTGGATAAACAGTTTATACCAGTGTCAAACCAGTAATAATAAATTTTTAAAGAAGTTAAATCATTCTAACTTATAATAAGTTGATAAACATTTTTGTAGAAAAACATAAATTATTTCAAATAAGCAATTCTAAACATCATTTTCAAAGAACAAAAACTCGCTTTTTTTTCTATTTTAAAGAAACTATAAATTTAATTAGTTTAAAAAAAATTAAGTTTAAGAAATTGAAAAGAAAAGGGTGAGTTTTATTGGAGTTGGATAAATGGTCATGTGGTGGGGACCACGTGTTTGTGTGGGATTGGTAGACAAAGGATTTAATATATATATTTAAGTTTCCAACCATTTCATTTGTTGCGCTTATTTATTATCAATCTAACATATTTTCACTTTAAAAATTAATATAAATATTACTTTATTTTCATGTTAAAATATTATTAATTAAATTATAATTTATAATCTCATAGTTATTTTAATATCATCTAAGTTTATTTAAAATCAATAATCACATAACATGATTGGTCCGTTTTACTGAACAGATTGACAACAAAAATGATGAATTTTTATTAATTAAAATCGATGGTTGGTAACTGTCTATTAAAATTTTAACCAGATGTCTTTCAGTTCGATTAATTCATGTTAACTGATAAAAAATTACAGTTGTTACAGATAAAAATGTAATTGACAGTATAACATTTATCACGAATAAAATAACATTATTTATATGGTACATGTATATGTTATCTCTATATCTATGCATAATGGAAGGGAAAGAATTGTGTTCACAGCTATCTCTATCAATCAAAACATTTCAATAACAAACAAAAACATTTAATGTATATTTTAATAAATAATTTTACAGTCATCATTCTATAATCTGGTTTGTTATTTATGGAAAAATTAAGGATCCGTTTATTTAAATGCTTACTCGATAAGTGCTTACTGATATGAGTCAACACTATAATTTATTTTGTTGCGTAAGATTTTAGTACATCAAAACGTATCGAATGCAACAACTTACCTGGGTAAAAGTCGTCATCTTCACTTGCCCGGTAAGATTCTTGACTCTTGTCATGTTCATCCGATAAACACTTATCAAATAAACGTTTAATAAATGACCCTTAAATATAAGAATATTTAATTTAATTTAATTTAATTTATTTATTTTTGAACACAAAATGTATGTAGAATTGGTTTTTCTTTTTCAAGAAAAAAAAGGTGGAGTTACAAAATTTAATAAAGATGTGAAAAATCAAATGTATATTGAAGTATGTGTTTCAAAGTCTAAACCATTTTTTCAAAACCTTTTCCTTTCCAATACTAATTAAATTAATTATAAAAATTAATCACTTTCTCAAGGAAGTTTGAACAACATTGACTCTAAATAAATTGAAAATCTTCTAATTTTTCAATATATATATATATATATATATATATATATTGAGTTTACATAAGACCAACATGTTTTCATGAGACCATAATTTTACACTTAAAACTTCACAGCAAAATGTTGTGAACGTAAAAGATTTCCGTACCTTCACAGAAAAACACTATGAAAGTAATCTTTACAGGGTTTTACTGTGAAGTTTTACTGGTCTCATGTGATCCAAGTCTATATATATATATACTAGAAGGGTAATCGTGCAATGCATCGAGACATATCTCGATTTCAAAGTTTCGTTTTATTCTTTATCTATGTCGATATAATACGGTTTTATATGGTTTTGAGAAAACGATAATGTTTTTATTTTTGAATAAAATATAAATTTAAAAATATCATTAAAATTTGAAAAAATATATCGATATTAATATTAAATTAATTATTTAAACGTTCTTGTTTTTATGTAATTTCTTTATTCAATTTTTTTTATTGTAATTTAATTTAACATAACAAAGTAATTTAATTTATGTTTAACAATATAATTTTTAAAAATATAATAATCAAGTATTTTATTAAAAATCAATGATTATCCTAATTATATTTTAGATTTTTTATATTTAAAATGAGATATTGATGCTTTATTTGATTATGTTTATCTACAGTTAGTTACATGAATTCAAACATGAAGCTTTAATAAGTTGTACTTACGCACAATTTATTTGTAATCTTGAATTTTAAGTAATATGCATCAATAAACAGTACTTCATGTATTAAAAATTATTTTTAAGAGTTTTTATCAAATAATTTATAATATAATATAAATAAAACAAAATTATTATGTTTCCTTAGAAAAAGGTGAATTATTTTTTGGTCAAAGACTTGACCAATTACCAAAATCATTTTCCAATAATGATAATTATTATTTGTTCTTCTTATTATTATTATTATTATTTGGAGTATTAATAATGAGTTCAGTACAAAATGGTTGTACCTTGAGCAGTAGTACGTGTACATATTGCCTGTGTATACTTTGATGATGACGTGGCGTCAAGCTGGCCAATAACAAAATGGTCAAAGGTCAAAGTGATTTGTTTCAAAATGAGATTCTGTTACGTCATCGATCAAATCGACCCTTTTTTTTTCATGTTGGTTATGAGTTATGAGATCATAAGATTCAAAAATTCTTAGTGATAATGCAACAAATATTTACGTGATTCAGTAAGATTGCTTATATTTATATTGAAATAGAGTTGTTTGTATTAGGTTAAAAATCAACCTCATTTTCCCAAGATATCAGTATCGCTCTCTATCTTCTGAACGAGTTTACATAAACAACAGGATGGATCTATTTGATCATGGGCCAAGTCTTGGGCTTTTTAACAGTTATCTCTATATAAAGTGTGTCACGTCTTATGACAAAACATCATATGTCCAGCTCTTCAACATACAAAGCCTACTCTTGTAATAAAGCGTGCTCACGCTTTATTACAAAAGAGTTTATGCCCAGCATACTTACACACATACATCCAGTAGCAGAACACATGTCTTTTAACCTGGCTGGTCGTACTTAAGGAGAATTCTTTGAAACAAGTTAAATGATATTATTTTTTGTTAGAAAAGTACGTCAGATGGGGTAAGAAAACTGAATCAAAATGTATTTTCCTTTGAATTTCACGTCTTCAAGGAAATAATGGATCGATATTTAATTCTGTGGAAATTTTCTTTTGTTGATTTTATAGGATCTGAAAATCATATTTCTTTATGTCTTTCAAAAAGAAGAAATCAACCATTAACTTATTCAGTACCAACATCAATAAGCATTTCTTTTTTCTTACTGTAAATGCTTACCAACCAAATTTTCATTACATGATCTATACTTGATTCATGTTCCTTAAATCTAGTGCTAAGCTGTGACTAGTCTCCAAATCAATTATTTGCTGATTGACCTTTACAGGTATTTTTTTTTGAATTTACAGAAAAAATAAAATATCTTATCGAGCTCTACCGAATACACAAGTCAGTCCTATCATACTTATCCCCATTTGATAAACTTCTAGTATCTTTAGGACCTTCTTTTTATTTACTTTTTTTTGACATCTAGAATAATGTTTTCTAACTGTAGAAGACATATACTGAAACAAGTAAAAAAACAGTAAAAGAAAAAAAAAACCAGATTGCTTGAGTAGTGAAGATAACACTACTAGTGTTGCATACTAGGTACTGATTTTTGGTTTCCCCAAGTCCCACAGTTTTTTTATTAGACTGCAAAATAAGAGGGCAAAAGACACACAAATGTTAAGCATAAAGAAGGATAAACCTGATCAATCAACAATTTAAAACTAAACTTAAAGAATTTGAATAATTAACGATCCAAACCCTTGATCTAAACGTAAAACAATAATATAAGCCTAAAAGAATATGAATAATTACCAATCTAAACATAATCTAAATAATTAACACGAAAATCAGTGAACCTGTTGGTCTCAACCATTTAATTTGTTTAATAACACAAATACATATGATCTACACTTAGAAATTAATATTCTTAGAAGTTGTGACTCAAAATCTGATTGTTTTCTATCGAATAACAAAACAATTTGGATTGCTCTCTGAATCCAAACTGTACTACATCCAGATTTGACAACCGGAATCATCATCCAGATTTGTCATTCAGAACTAAAGTCAGATTTGTCATCTAGATTTGTCCTCTTCTTCATCCGGATTCATCACTTGGACTTATCCTCGATAGATTCCAAATCATATAAGGATCTGAATCATATTGTCGAAAAATTTGTGGATCCAACTAAACTCTGGTCTGCTGGAATCTAAAGTATAGCTTATATTTTGGAGAGAAACATAGAATAATATTTTGTTTGTAAAAGTCCTATTATTATCTGTATTAATCTAAATGCAAATTTCCTTCAACAATATCAAAAACTAGTTGAAGTGAA